AAGCAGTGCGAATGTTATCTTTGTTGATCGTTTTGTTTGTTCATTTATTAAATTGAAATTAATAAAAAGTCCACTCGGTTTCTTGCTGGTTCTTTTCAGGGTAGCCGCCTTTTCCAAACCATTTTTAAAAAGTAAAAAAATGACTTTCGATAAGAATTAGTTGCAATCGAATAAAAAAATAAAAGTTATTATATTCTATAAACGTTACCCACTCACTAGGATTTTCTCCTGTATAGTGGTGGCAGTTTACATAAATTGCCCAAGGACAAATATCCAGGCCAGGAACAATTATTTATTGGCTACACAGTTACTTATTCTGCACGGGATTCGAATCCGCGGCCATCAGCGCAGCAACTCAAGCTAAGACATTACTCAATAAATCCATAAAATATTAAATACTCGTAAATGTTAGATATCTGTAGTGATAATATAAGTCCATTACTGATTTTAAGTACGATCGTATGATTTTTCTAGCTATTCCAGTTAAGGTTGGCAGATGAAGCTTAACTTAAAAGATAACAAAATGAATTAACAGGGATGTGGCTGCACTCCTACGCCATATATTTGATAAACAATTACTGTTCAATTCTTCACAAGAATTTCTTAACGGTATATGCGGAACTCAAAAGGACTTCCGGACCGAGTAACGATATTTCAAGCAGCTATAAAAAAATGTAATCTATTGTACTTATTAATATTCTAATTAATTCAATCTTGTATTGCGCTCTAGGACACGTTGCCAGAGGTCTGCCTTCAGGCAAAAACAATTCGCCAATTGTTCTCATTTTAATTAATTTCATGATAATGATAACAATCTTGTTTTACAATGATATACTAACGTTAGTTCTATTACGTTCTATCACTGGTCGTAAATGCGATTACTGATCATGAGGTCCGAATTCGAATCCCGGGTCGGGCCATAAATCAGTCATTGGTTCGGAGTCAGGAAGTAGACGGCAGAAAGAACGTAAAGCCGTTGGTCTTGAACCTGATCTCTCTCTGGTCGTGTCAGGTTACCGTACCATTGGACTATGAGAGTGAGGGATTAGGGAGTGCGCTTGTATTGTACACTATAATCCTGTTTGGCGCTAGCTGATGGTAAGTCTCCATTGAAACTGGCGGCCGTGAACGAAATTCGGTCTGGAGGATATTATTAATTTGATTATGACAAAATTCCACCCGACACCAGGAACCCGAAGGATCTCCGCATTAGTTTTACATGTAGCACCCATCAGTCAATCAGTCAGTTTGAATTTATTTTATATTAGAATGAAAACGATCTAATAGTCATTACAATGTTATGTGGCTACTACGATACGTATAAACCAAGAGCAAACTTGAGGCAGAGAGAGCCACAGATGCGTCATACCTGAGGACCAGCTCGTAATCATACTGGTTGTTTTAAGCTGGAACACGGGGGTTGTTACGCTGCTGCTGAGCGTCAGGAATAGGTGCTTCCTTGGACGGGCTCCTAGGCAGCAAAGGAACCTACGTAGTATGATATACTATAGATGGTTAGTGATTATTATTTTACCTTTTTTATAGAAAAGCGACGATAAGCGAGCACACAGTCCACCTAATGATAAGTGAATACTGTAGCCCATAGATATCTAATCGTTAATTTATAATCGATTAAGAAGCGTTATCACTCCTGAGGACTAAGATGGAATACCTCAAATTCAGAAAAAACTATTTGATTTTCAAGATTAAGCAATGTTAGGCACAGGGGTCTCTGATACAGGGCCCGATCTAAGAAGTGCATGCCGGGGATTTTCCCAGACCGGCAAAAAATGAGGGGCGGCAAAATTGACTTATTCCTATCTTCCAACCTAGCCATTAGCCATCCACCACCCAAGTTGGCAGGTTGAGAGTTTTATGCGCCATCTTCCAACCTACTTCAGGTTGGATAGTGGAAATATTTAAGTATTTTACTAAACTGGATTATTTTAGTTCGAAAGAAAGAAAGAAGAAGTAGGGATCTGCAAAAAAGTACCGATACTTGAGTAGTATCGATACTTTCATTTCGATACTAAATATATTTTGACACGATACTTTTGTTCCGATAATTTTATAAGTACTCGATACATTCAACAAAATTTTAATCGCTCTTTCGGCTTGTTAATTCTCATCTGTGACTGCTCACTAGCAGTCTTCAGCAGCTTCGTTCACGCGTCCACCATAATTATTATTCTCGTGGCAATGAATAACTTTTCTGTCAAAGTCCTTTTCCAAACTTCAATTTATATCTACATACCAAAATTTATCCAAATTGATTCATTGGTTTAATCGAAAAAACGTAGCAGACAGAGAAAATGTATGACTTTCGAATTTTTTAACATTGGCATTGTCATTACCTCCATTTAAATTTATTACATATTTTTATTTTTACCGTATAGAATTTTGACGAAACTGTTGATGTCTTCTTGACCTTGGACAGACTGAAGATACACGGGCAACGAAAACTTTCACCTCATGCACATTTAATAACGAGTCGCAGTTTTAGTAATTGTTTGTTCTTAATTATTATTTGGTTATTCTTAAAGAACGGATTTAAAATGTAGGTATAAACTACCAGGGATAAATATTGTACGAGAATAATTCAAATTTAATTCACATTAGCGAATTTAAAACTGACGACCAAGATTTTTACAGGCTTGTACTGTAGTAATTTACTATAAAAAGATTTAAAATCCAAATACTTCTACTAGCATAAAATTTTGTTTGTTATCAAAGTTGTAATTATGAATTTATTAATGTATCTTTTATATTATGAATAACTATTTTGATGATTGAAAAATTGTCTTTATGAAAATAATTAACATGTCACGCGTTGAAGTCTTTTCTTCAGCGTTTAGTGTTTCAAGGCAGGTAATTAAGGTCAATCGTTTATATAATAACTAGCGATCCGCCCCGGTTTTGCCTGGAGAGGATCAATTAATATTAAAATTTCCGGATAACATAAAGCCTTATCCCTTCTGACACCGTGCTCTATCTGTTCATAAAGTTTTATCCTAATCAGTCAGTTCGAAGAATAGCCCGGACACACACACCGACAAATTGTTTAATAATGGCTATTTATGTCTTAACAGCATGCGAATAACTGCTTGAGCTTAATATAAGCCGGTTATTTCAATTCAAACTTCTATTTTATTTATGAGTACTTATAAATAAAAAGAAGATAATGTAATGGCTGTAAAAAATTATTAACCCTAGAGTACTAATCGTCGCCTCGGAGAGCGCTCGCGGTTGGTTTTTTTCTCGTAATTTTATGATAGAAAAAACTAATTGCATCATACAATCATGCATAGTGAAGCTTCGCGAACATTATAGGCTCAAGGCCAAAAAATTAGGTTAGTAAATAGGTAGGTTGAAGATTTAAATCATGTTTAGCCTCTGAGCTGTGGTAGATCAGGAGCTAAGCGCTCGCTGTACATTGAACAGTACGCCAGCAATCCGGGTTCTATCCTACCGGCACAAATGAAATTGATAATTGCAATTTTAAGCGCTGATTTACCACGTGCTCGACGGTAAAGGAAAACACCGTGAGGAAATCATGCAAGTCTGAGAAATAAGAAAAAACATGTGAAGTTCGCCAACACGCATTGGGGCAGCGCGGCGGACAATTCCTTGCCCTAAAATCCTCCCACAGATGAGAAAAGGCCTGTCAGTAGGACGTATATAGGCTGTAAGTTTAACTGTTAACTTTATATTTAAATCTATCGTGACGGTGTTTTTATATCCACTACTTTACATCGTTCCGTGAGTGTCGAAAGGGGCGATGGAGGGAATAAACCAGGATGTGGGCAGCAGAGTTTGCTTAATAACAACGAGTAAAAGTATATTAAGAGAAGAAGTAGAAAAGTAATTACAACTATAATACGAGTACATAAAGAGAAACGTAGAGTGCGACGTGGATAAGCGTTCGCATCATCACTTCGATGAAATTTGATCTTAAAATTGTTAGTTGGAATGTATGGTACTGTTACACCAGGTACTCGATGGTTGCCCAATGCCTCCTCGGACTAGTGATGGTAACCGCGGTTGTTGATCATGACATCCCGGGAGGTTATAATTGGTTTTTCTGTCAAAAAAGTATCAATAGTAGTACGAGGTCAGAAAGTTGGCGATGTTTCATCCCGTGCCTCGGAGAATGCGTACAGCCCTTGGTCCTGCGCCTGATCTCTCTCCGGTCGTGTCGGATTACCTCATATATTTCTCGAAATTCGGTCTAGAAGACATCATTACTATTCGATGGTTAAAGATAAAAAAATAATAAGGGAATGGAGAGCAAAACATCGTATGGTGATGTACATTATAAGAAAAGAAGTAATATTTAGAATACGAGTATATAATATGAAGTCCGTCAACGTGCACTGGACCAGCGCAGCATTCTTCCTCACGCCTACTTCGTCAAGGAGATCTTTTTTTAAGTAAAGAGCACAATGTACGAAGTCTACTGTACAGTGTTCAAGTCTACTGTACAGTGTTCAAGTCTACTGTACAGTATTCAAGTCTACTGTACAGTGTTCAAGTTTACTGTACAGTGTTCAAGTCTACTGTACAGTGTTCAGTGTTCAGTGTGTGGGGACGTAAGTAAAGCTTCCTTGAAAAGTAATAGCCAGATATTTGCATTTGAGAAATTATTAATTTTATATTATCTTTAGAGTTTTGGAGTTTAGTTAGCTTATATTTATTATATATATTTAGTTAGCAAGACTTTATATCATTTCGAATTAAAAAAAATTAGTTGCGGTAAAATCATTCATCTTAAAAATACGTGTACTCGTAGTATATAATAGGGGGAGGTCTATGTTCACCATTTTACTTTTGTTGTGCTGTGATAAATGTAATGAAAATGAAATGTATAATTATTTAAGCTTGCAATGTTGTTTTGAAAAGACTAATTTCGCTGATTGATCAGTGGGGGAGCTTGTAGCTCTGCGGTGACCCGTCACAACCAAAAACTAACAGAGTGTCGCGTGCGGAGCGCAGTGTCCGTCATGTATCGTCGCGCGCTGCATGCTCTCGTCGCGCTCTGCGTCGCCGGTGAGTGCGGGTGGTGGATCATTTGCTTCTCCTGTGCATAATTACTGCGTGTACATGATAACAACTGGTATTTAAGTTATTTTTGTGTGAAATGCATTTCTCTACGTTATGTGACGATAAACTTTTTTTGAAGCGACAGTAGCCTAATGGCAGGGCGCGGACCGCGAACTCAAAAAAGTCGGGGGTTCGAATCCGCCATTCGACCACTGGCGTGAACCACTCGTAACTCAAGCAATTTAGGCTTACCATAAGTAATTAAAGGGAATATTAGTAATGTTTATAGCATTGTTATTATTCTTTAAAAAAACTGCCCTTGTTTATTAAGCAATTTTTAGTAAGGGTTATTGTACTACTAAACAGTACACGATGGATAACAATCCCTGGGAATGATGTGATCGCTACCGTAGTGGTTTTAAATGTTTTCATACTTAATTGTATAAAATATAATATTTTAAATTCATGTTTAAAAAGGTTCCGCTGGTTTTCCTGCTAGTTCTTCCCAGGACAGAAGTTTTTTCCAAAACAATGGTAAAACTGAAATGAATTTCAATAAATATTCTTGTAATAAATATTGAATAAAAAATATTCTATTCTATGCTATTCGTATCATATCGGTTAATTCCATATCCTCCCGAATAAATTATGTTTTACAAGAAATAGAAATAGAAACTTTATTTTATTCAATGTAGATTATTATAAATAGTATTTATTGACAGTCACTTTTATGTTTAATTAATCACTCGGAACGGAACAAACCTCTACCCTCGGAAGAAGCAAAAAGAAACTCAGCGGGCCTTTTTATTTGAATAAAGTTAAGGTATATTCATCTAATTACACGATAGTTATATATTATAATATGACGATATGTTGTATCATATTAGTTGATTTCCAGTCCTCCTGACTGGATTAGGTTAGATAAGGTTATAGTTGTTGACAACAAGATAGTTTTATTTGCGAATTGGGAGAGGATAAATCGGTAGATTTCATTTTATCACTATATTTAAATGACAACCAAGACTTGAGCACAATTTTCTGTGATTGTTCTCATGCAATACTTTTAGAGAATATTTAACAGTTCATTTCCGACTGTAAGGTTAATGCTTATTCATCTCTCAATAATGATTTGCCATGTACCCGTCATGATCTTTGAATTGTGGTCAGTATTGTGTATAAGTTTAATTTTGATTCCTTTTATAATGGAAATTATCATGACTTGATAAATTAATCAAACCTAATAAACCAAGTACCATTCTAATAATTTTTTATACAGCGTAGGGTCACAAATGAGCACACAGTCTACCTGATGGTAAGTGATTGCTGTGGCCCATAGACATCTTCATCTTTCCTTGATTACGAATCAAATGCAAATGCGTTGTCACCCGTGAGGACGAAGATGGAATGACTCGTTCCCAGTAAAAAGGGTCTTTCTCTCTGGTATCATAACTCGATTCTAATCATAACTAATACCGTAATATCGTTAACAGGAAGGATTATGTTTGACTGAGGTGTTTTCTATTCTCGTATTTCTAAGAATTTACCCCAAAAATTAAGCGTTATATGCATTTATTTACTAAATAACTAGAAACTTTAAAGTGGAAATATGTATGACGTACTATGTCGCAGCCTCTTTATTTTATTTTTGATTGTATGATTTCCTATATTTGTGTTAATAAAAAACAAACGGAGCGAGTGCATTTCAAGTGACGCAAAAACCAAGCCGAAACCATGCTCAACTTATTGTAAGAACACGCGTTTCCGTAAACATATACATCTTATATTATTTACAACCAACTACATAATGTTAGATACGTATGTATGTGTGTGTATGCGCCTTCAGTTGTGAACTTTAACGAGCTGATAAAGAAAGAAAAAAGATGTGTGTCAAGAAGTTGAGCGTACTTTTGTCTTCACCTGAAATGTAATGTACACACGCTCAGCATTTTTAACAACATTTAAAAAAACTTACTTGAGCTGGAAATCAAACCAACTTAAAATGTAAAAAATAGAAAATCATTAGATGTTCTATCGAACAAACTTATTATCTTACAGTTAAAGAAGACATGAACAATTATTAATATTAACAAATCAAACTCTTCCTGATAAGCTATTTCGATTATAAAATAGCGGGAACACCAACACAACCGCAAACTAAGATAAACAACAACAGGTTACCGATATGCTTAATCCGATTTTCAAAATTATAGTATCACATATTTAAACATTCTATTTTGACATTCATCTCGTTTTAAAAATGAGCATACTTCGATAACAATGTTTGTAGTTTTCTGTATTTTATAAAATATTTTTAGCTGATTATTAAACTTCATGCGTTTTTCTTTTATTTAAATACTCTTATTGTAGAGTTTTAAAAAAATAATCCAAGTTCTTTTGAATCTTAGAAATAAAAATATAGGTTTGAATGTTAGTTTTTACGAGTAAATTGTTAGATACACAGAATACCGGCGTAAAATAGTAGCTTGATGCTGCTGTGTTTCGTATGGTGAGTGTAGAGAACCGGAGACCCTTTTTACTCGAAATGAGGCATTCTATCTTAGTCCTCATTGGTGACAACGCATCTGCATTTCGATTTCTAATCGAGGATAAATGTAGATGTCTATGGGCCGCAGCAACCACTTACCATCAAGTGGACTGTGTGCTCGTTTGTCACCCTATCCTATAAAAAAATCTTACTTTAACAAAAACCTATTCACTTTTGTATGATAACAGTTTTTACGTGGTTAGAGCCATACTTAAGCTATATTATGGCTGTAGCACGAATGGTTCGGCTCGACCGGGGAAGGAGCACACTCTCCCAGAATACCAGTTTGAAATAGCAGCTCAATGCTGCTGTGTTTCGTATGATGAGTGTAGAGAAGCAAAGATCCTTTTTACCGGATACGAGGTGTTTCATCTTAGTCCTCAGGGATGACAACATATCTGCATTTTGATTACTAACCGAGGACAGATGTAGGTGTCTTTGGGCCACATAATCCACTTATCATCAAGTGGACTGTGTGCTCGAATGTCACTCTTATTTTGTAAAAAAAAAACATCTACGTGGTTAATCTAAACATATCACTTTGCTCAGAAGCGGCTGTAGTTTAATCTTCAATTCCACAAAACTGCTCTACCATGACGAATGTAACTTACACGAGAAACATATTATGATCTGCTTTTTAATAAAGTAATAAGAATTCGAAGGTCTCGTGTGTGTCGATGACAACCGGTCAATAACGACAGTTTTATTATAATTCTTATGTGAGGAGTCACGTGGATACAACGGCCTCTGTTAAGTTCGTTAGCTTCTAGGAAATGCTTAATAAGTTACCTTCGCATCTTTGATTTCGCAAGAAAATGTATCGGCTGGTTATTCCCTTGAAAATTCATACGTTGAATAGAACAGAAGAGAATAATGATTATGCAATATTAATTACAAGAATACTTATAGAAAGTCATTTAAGTCTACCAGTTGTTCGAAATAATCTGTATCCTGGGAAGAACCAGCAAAAAACCCAGCGGGATGTTTTTAAACCACGATTTACAATATAATATTTTATACAATTAACTATCATCCCTACACTCCATTACAAGCTACACCGCGAAAAAGTGTAAGTATACATAAGTATTAGCCTCCCTCAAGTAATGCCACAAATATCCATGTGACAGTACCTCGAGCAAACGTGGACCCTCGGACACAACTGCTCTAATCGTATGTAGAGTAAACACGTTCTTAGCGAGAATTTGGATGGTGTTTTTGTTAAAAAAATATATATAACCTTGAAACACTTGAATGGTTCGATAGCACCCACACTCATGTCATATGACATTAGATTTAATAACCTTGAGTTATACTTTGATTACAAGAACCGCAGCAATCAATTGATAAGTAATGCAACTAAACGTGTAGTGGCTGCAAAAGAATATCCACTACACCAAATCGATCAAGCAGCATCTACTACAAGCTACATCACAACATATTGTAAATTACTTTTTAATTCAATGACGGTCTAACCTTGGACTTACCATAAAGCTGTAGGCGAGACCATACGCACTAATTCTATAAAATTGCATCTTGTTATAATAATAACTGTTTATACCTTTTAGTCAATGAAAAAAGTGAAATTTTGATTGTATCATCGCTCATAAATGTCTGTAGACACAGAGACATTGCTAATGTGTTATAGGTCACCATACTTCCTGTATTCTTATTCAATATTTTTTCTTATCTAAACGTTTAGGTTTTGTCAGTGATGTCTAGACACACACTTATAAATTAATAAAAAATAATAAATGTAATTCTTTTTAAAACACTACTGTAAAATCAATTTAACGGATAAAATCTACATATTACATTTTTCTTTGTTTTATAAAACTGTTTATTGCCTTAGTGAATAAATTAGCATTTATTTATTTATTTTATTATATTTTAAAATCTTTATTGCGTCCCCTTTAGAAAAAAAAGCATTATTACTTTTCAGATATAAAATAACATTATAAATGCCAAATTAGCAATAAGAAAAAGCCGTTAAAACTTGTTATTGATTAGTAACGTTTTCGCTGGGCTAAAATTAATCTAGTGTTTATTATTTACTAGTTTTTACCCGCGGCCGTGCTCGCGTTCATTTAAACCCCGACCAAATTTTTTATTATTTATTTACAATTATTTTTACTAAAAGTTGCAGAAAGCGGTGCAGACACCGAGTATGCTTTTTAAATCATTTTGATCAAGGTCAAGATGTGTGTGAAGGCTGTGCTCACTGTGCCACCAGTGCTTATTTTGGTAGTTCTGCGATCTATGGGATTTCTGGCATTTTCCACCGTCGCTTCTAACAACACACACGGGATGAAACGAGCTAATCCCTTTACAGCGCTAGCACATAGCTTAACACTTAGTTTTTGGAAACGTTTTCCTTTAATTATTAATTAAAAATCCAGTAGCTTGATAAATAGTAATTACGGGAACCATGTCAAAGGTTGTGATGCATGAGCGAGTCATGAAT